CAATCATAAAAATGAATTATTTGTTTCTAGACATAGTCTTGGCTAATTTAGATTGTAACATAACTAAGGATTTTGCTTATTCATAATGATTTATTGAGCTGTGCAAAGACAGTGCTATTTTAAGAGTTTTTAGATGGTCTGTTGTCTTCTAAAAGGGCAGAAAATGCAAATGGCTCATACAATCAGTTGTATCTGCTCAGACTCACTAAATCATAAGGAGTCAAAGCAATGCAGCAACACTCTGCATTTGTGGAACACTGATGCCACATGGCAGTGGAATTGTAAAGGAAGTGCTTGGTACATAAAAAATTAATACCTAGAGGGTCCCTTTTTGTATGGTGATAAGTGTTGCTTCATGTGTGAACATAATCCCCTCAGAACAGCAGTTTACTAGATGTGCTGGAGATTATTGAACAAAATACAAGCTGAGGTCACGTTTGGGTTTTCATTGGACAAATCACTATCATTTTCTTCTCAATCCAGACTAAAATTGCAGTGTTGCAGGAGGCACTTGGGTTTGGTGCTCACCAAGGTGAGGTTGATACCTGTGCTCAGGGCAATTCAGAGCTACACAGAGGAAAATCAGCAAGTCATAATGCACTTCTATTAGTTATCAAGTGTGTTATCTGACCTCAGGAGCTGTTTGTTAAATATTGAATCACGACCAGATGCCAGAGAGGTGGCCACGGAGTGCCACGCAGGGATGGACAGCTGCAGCAGTATGAATACACACTGACATATCAGGGTAAGAAGTAGAGAGGGGTATTTACAATATTCACTTCCAACGCAAGTTCCACGACCTCTGCTTTAGAACCCATTTGTTTTATTTGTTTCTAGACATAGTCTTTGCTAATTTGTGCAGCAGTAAATTTTTTTTTAGTCAATTCTGTGTCGTTAGCCACAGCTCCTCATATGCATTTCCATACAGCCCCAGACAAACAGCTGTTAGAACTGGGAAAGCAGCAGCAGAGTTGCTGGTGCTGTACAATGGAGCTTGAGTAATTAGGCCAGCACTTAACGTGGTCCAAGTGCAACTAACTCAAAGTGCAAGGGAAGTATGGAGAGGGTCACTAACTCTGTGTGTGTTCAGCCATGAATTTCATCCCTCACTTCTGCCCTCTCTGATGTGGAATTTCTCCTGCCTGTGTAACTTGGGAGATAATGTAAATGCAGCGTCAGGACATTAATGAGACCAACCCCTTTAAGTTTTAAGGTTTGACTTTTTTCCCCCCAGCTTCTGGTTAATGATGTGACAGTTTGTTGCTACAGGAGAGAGAGAGAGAGAACTGCATCTGTGGTAACTAAAGGTCAGATGCCCTAGGCTGCATGGGCTGCTGTGCCCATCAGTACTGGGGAGAAAAGAGAGGGCTCATGGTTTGTCAGTGTTAAGAGTGGCCTCACAAAAGATATGTATTTGAAATAACAATGGTTTGAAGCGGCATGTTACTAACCTCCAGTTCTGAATTTAAAAAAAATACCACTACAACTCTCAAGCCCTTGAATATTTAATGATGGCTGAACAAACTTGGAGTGACCTGAGGAAGATGGAAAGTCACAGAAGTTAATGCTCCCAAAATGCAGCAGAGCTCAGTAGTCCTTAAAAGCAGTTAAAGAGCTTTTACCATCTGTTAAGTAATTACCTATCATCATTAGTTATTAGGAGTAGGAAATGATGTAAAGGGCATAAACATGATAGAAAAAGAACAGCCAGCTTCTTGTGGGTTTCTTGAATTAGGTCATAAAAACGTGGTTATTAATACTGAAATAGCAATGGCAAACATTTACAGACAAGGTTGTAGCTGCTCTGCTTTAAAAAGAAAAACATTACATTTTTCCTAACAGTAAATATTTAGTTCAAGTCTTGTACTTGTTGACAGTACGAAATGAAATCTATTATAATATTCATCTCCAAAAAACAACATAAGATGAAGAAGATTTAAGGTTTCTAAATTGAATGCATTATAGCTCAGCTAAAACCAATTATGGAAAACCCAATTTGAGGATCATGGCTTGGAACAGATTAAAACCAAGTAACCAAAAACCCCAAAAGCTGTGTGTGCTTTTAAGCTGCATGATTGTACATGCAAGCATGCACACATTTTTACTTATATATCACTGTGGGCTTCCATGGCCCTAATTCTAATTTCTTTTTTCCCGCTTTTTAGTCAAAATAGGTTCCCTAAAATGCATTTCTTTCAAGGTATTAGCTCCATATCTTTAAACATTCTGCAAGAATTTCAGTCTGTAGGTCTGAGGTTGCACAGAGATCCCTGGGTACATCCTTTGCTATTTTTTAGTCTTATTTCCTTCAGCAAGTTGATACCTCTCGCTGCAAGTTCCTAATACACATTAGAGTTAGAGAAATGTCCTGTCCTGACTACGTGCTTTGAGACAGCAGCGTGAGACGCTATTGATCCACAAACAGTGCCCAAGCAAGTGGCCACAAAGTGGCACAACCAGAATAGAAATGCAGGAAACTGCAGGAACTGTCTAGAAATCAAAGACAAAGTCCTGTCTAAGCTGTCCAGGCTAACCCTGGAATAACAAAATACCAGTGTGAGAAGTGGAGAAATCTTGTAAATAAAAAATGAGGACTCCAGAAACTGCTGTGGCAGATGATCAATAAAATGTCCAATAAATACCAAAAAGGGGGAATTAGGATGGCAAAACCAGGGCCACTGGGGTAAGAGAATACGGGGTACGCTGTGTAACGGAGAGACAAGGAAATGAGAGGCTCCTTTCAAGAAGCTTGATGCTTGATCCATGCGGTTGTTCCCACCATAATCCCCTCTGACTTGCTTTTCCTTGCAGGAGGGACACAGTGTGCAATCCCTGGCCTTGGGGGATGCCCATGGGCTCACCCCAGCCCTGACCACGGTGGGAGCACTTGGGGACTGCCCTCCACCCCGTGCCCTTCAGGACCCTCTGTTTGCAGCTCGGGCTCTGTGGCTGCAGGCGTTGGAGGACTGCGATATCTGCACGTGTACGTAAGGCCTTGTTGCTTTCTGGGGGTTCTTGGCAAAGTCCAGAGAGTAATATTGAAGTATTTTGTTTCGTTAGAGTCACTTTTCCCTGTGTATTTTTTTTTTTTTTAATATGAAGTTTGCTCTGTATAAAATGTGCCACATATTTAAAACAAAAACAATTTTATTTTGGCTTTGCCTGCTACGAGTCTAAACATTTAGGTAAAGAACAGAAGCATTGGGTTTGTGTTGCCAAAATCTTACTCATAAGGTACTTTATCCCATTATTTTTTCCATCTGTTTTGTCTCTCAGGGATTATTGCAGCAGCTTAGGAGTTTGATTTATTTCCACCAAGGCATAGGAAGAGAATGTGCAGAGAGGCAGAAGTGCTTAAAACCACAGTCTTAACTGCTGAAATATTCTGTTTATGAAAATACTTTCTGAATTTATATTCAAAATCCTCTGCCTGATTTGCTGAATGAGGAGAAAGAGAGAGCAGGGGAATTTTCTCTGTCAGGTCTCCACAAGTACAGCTGTGTTGAATATTTAAATATGGTATTTGCAGTCAGTGCATATTGTGATACGCTTCTTTTCGGGGAACAACAATCTGTGAGAGATTATGGTTGCCTTTTTATTAGAGGAAAAACAAAATATCAAACAAGCACTGAATTATATTTTAATGTAAGTGGATGTTATTTTCTATTTTAATCAAAAGCTGTTTGCGAGAGCCTCTCTCCTTTGTTGCTTCAGAGCCCGGCAGCAATCTGGGAGGTGTGTGAAGGGCAGTGTGTTGTCTGGCTGATGGTGGTGGCAAAGGAGCCTCCAACAAAGGCAACACTTGCCAAAGTGAACACCTTTTAATCAGTGTTCTGACACCTAACTAAAAGCTGGGCTGCACAGTCCTTGAGTGCCCAAGGCCCTCTTGTTGAAGCAGCTTCATTCTGCAGAATTGCTGTGTCTAGGTGGACAGCTTCATCTGCTCTCAGCCTCACCCAGCACCTGAAACGTGTCTCTGATCCATAAATAAATGTCCTGCTGGCACAGAGCCTCAATCCTGGGAGCTGATTTATGGAGCTGCAGGATGAGCAGGCCAGCCCTCGAGGCTGGAGACTCACCCCTCCATATTTTAGCATCCAGGAGGGTGTAGGAGTGGTGAGGCTGAAATGCTGACCTTCTCACAGACTGTAATACAGCATCTATCAGTGCAATTGGTGGGTTACTACCGGCAAATCAGCCACTAGTACACGGTTTGCTATGAAATAAGCAGAAGTGTAGCATGCCTGAAATGGGAAGGGAGCTCAGGAACCACGTGTTACCAATTCTGTACACTGAAAAGTCCCTTTGATGTGAAAAAATGTGCAAAAATAATGAAGTTTTGAGTTTGGTTTTATTCTAGAAAAATGGAGTGAGGCTACCTGTGTATTGTTGAGGAGATCACTATAAGGGCATCCCAATGGAAGGTAAGAAAATGACTATGGGGCGAGTGAATCTGTGTACCAGCACCAGCACCAAACCCCTTGGTGCATTCTCACTGAGTTGGAAATGTAAGTTCTCAGCCAGTTGAAAGCAGTGACAAAGAAGGTGACAGTTAAAAAGCAAATATCAAAAATAAAGTAAAATAAATCTTTGAACAAGCTGACCTCTAAATATTTAAAACTCGCAAAAAGTGTAAGAAGTGAAGCAGAAATCATTGTTGGTGCTAATATCTGAAAGCTATGAAATGCCTGCATGTGTCCAGGTGCCATTTTTAACCCAGGATGTCAGATTTCACATTAACAGAAAATTGTCACCCCCAGACTGGCATTTTTGGAACTGCTCAGTGTCTAATCAGTGACAGTAGTTAACAGTTGCAAGCCTGACGCCTGGAAATCAAATAATTGTGAGTGCTGCTGCTGTGGGCTGGGGCAGGATGGTGCTGGGAGGTGCTGGCACTTCGGGTGCCCAGCAGCTGCCCACTTCACCCACCCCAATAAGCTCTTCACCACACCTTGAACTGTTTCCTTCCATCCCTTCTAACAGGGATTTGGATGGGTCAGTGGGAACGCAGGAGCCCAAGCAGTAAATGCTCCCCTGGATTTTAACCCAGAGGCACAACAGCCATTTAACTGTAAATCTATAAATATTGCTACAAGCCTGCTTTTGTAACACTTCTTTACGTTTTTGTGCTCTCTGGAAAAGTTTTTGGGTTTTTTTAATATTGCAAAAGTAGGAAGAAATCATGGGGCTAAGATGATGATGTAGCCAACAGCGGAGGAACGAGGGAGAGCAGCGGCGCTCTGTGACAGCACAAGTAAAGCACAAGCAGTGAACCACATGGCTGTCCTGATCCAGCAGAAACAACCTGGAACCAGCAGCTGTCCCCTGCAGACTCCAGGGCTGCCACCCATGGAGGGAGGGAGCCCAGAGCCACACGGGGCTCAGCTTTGGGGGGTGAGCTGGGAGAGTCCTGCTGGCTGTGGAATTTCCGAGTTTTCTATGGCTGTAGTGCTTTTCTGTGGAGTCAGTGAGGTGAAGCAGCCCCTGCAGGATCAGGCAGGAGGTACAGATATCCCTAAGAGGGCATCCAAGGGCAAGGAGGACATGGCAGAGGTATAAAGAGCAACCAGGGAATGGGAGGAGCTTTGAGGCTGCTTTGTCCCAGCATGTGCAACTCCATCCTGAGCCTGGTGGTGCAGAGGCTGCATTGGTGGCTTTGGAGCTGAGGCCTCAAGGTCCTGTGGGTGTCAATAGCTTCAAAGCTGTGAGAAGTGGGCAGGACAGGTTCAGCTGGCCTCTCCAGCTCCCATCCCAAATAAATGTCCCTGCACACTCCCAGCCAAGGTTAGGGGAGGGCCAGTGGAGACACATGGTGTGCAATGTTGGCCGTGATTGCAGTGGCTGCTCTGGTAGCCCTGTGTTTCCCTGCCTGTTAATCCCTGCTCTCCTCAGTGTTGATTTAAGTACCTTGCTGTGACATTTGGAGACTAATGGAGCGTGCCGGCCCAGAAGGAGCTCGGAAAGGTTGTCGGATACGATCTGCATTAATCAGAGCCCATTCACTCTGGCGTGTGATCCCTTGCCTGCGCAGCCACGGCTTCTGTGGCAAAAAATAGAGATAAGTAGCAAAAGCTGCTCAAGGAGTGGCCTCCCTGTGCGTGTTCCGACAGGCAGGAGAGGGATTCATCCTGGCAGCGGTTCCCTTGTATCTGTTCCAGCGGGCGATGCGCAGCGACAACGGCAGCTGCTCCTTTCCGCGGCGCTGCGGAGGGAACGGTACCTGTGTGTTCCTTCCCAGGTGCATCGTTTCCAGCTCCAGGGGTGATCCATCCTGTGGGTGACAAACAGCTCCCTGGCACCACGCACCTACCTAACACCTGATTAACTCCTGTTTCCAAGAGCCTTCCCTGCAGAAAGGGAAAGGCTGCAAGTGTCAAGGTCTCCCTGAAAGTAGCACAAACATGTTGCCTCCGATGTTTATGGGATCAACAGCCGTTCCTGGAATACAGAGCTAAGCTCTTTCCTTGTACCTTTTTTTGTCATAATCTGCAGACAATGAGGGAGGCTTTTGTCCTGCCTCTCTGAGTGTGTTGCTTTAGTACTTGTGTGAAGCTCAGCTAAGGCAGTAGAGAGATCCTTCCATTCACAACAGCACTCGAACTGTTGGGCTACTCAAGGAAAAAGTATTTCTGAATCTCTCCTTTTGAATCTGCTGTATTTGACACAGAGGTGCTAAACATGAGTGGAATGAGTGGGAGAGAATAAAGAGCTTTGATTTCTCAGGGCTGAATGAATGGTGGTGGTGATGGGAACTCTGGGATAATTGTATCTGGTTTTTTTCCCCTTCCCTTTTTTTCTCTTTCTTACTCTCATCCCATAATTGAACAAGCTGCTAAAGGAACCTTAGGATTAAATATTGAACAAAATGGCTCCTGAGTGAGTGTCACAGCTGATGCACCAGAGAGATGTGCTAGTTCTTTTTACACTTGTGATGTTTAGAGGATGCACTTGATACAGGTTTGCCTCTCGTGTCTGTAAATACAGAGCTCTCAGCAACAGGAGGGAGGCTGGAGAGGCTCTGTGCCTGTACACCAAGCTGGTAACCCTTTCTGGATTGTACAGACCTTCTTGGAGCAGAGAGGGAAGCTGTTTAGCTCCCTCTGCAGAGGGGGTTCCCAGGGAACAGGCAGAATTGACTACGTAAAGCTGATGTTCCATCAGCAAAGACTAAGAGAGGAACAGAAATATATAATAAGTAATCTGAAGAGACAGCCATGCTGTGCTGGAAAAAGCCTTTAGAAGTAATTACATAAAAAGCATCAGCTTCAATGCAGAGATAGGGTCCCTGAATGGATTAATTAAAAACAAAGATGCGTTTTCTGTCAGAAATCTATCCCAAGTAAAACCAAAATACAATCAGATTCAGCTTTTAGATGGAAACTGACTGTGCACCAATAAACACTTTTCCTTTTTTAACTTCACAGAATCTAACTAAAAGAAGGCAGATGACAAACACTACCAGTTCCCCTCACTGACATCAACACTGAAGTGCTTCACTGAAGGAAAATGTTGAGAAGCTGGGACTGGACATCTAAAAGTTCTTCAGTTTTCTCCCTGACTTGATGGTGAGTAACCATTCCCTCATTGCCTGCAGAATGTGAGGTGTGTGAGCAGGGGAAGGAGCAGGAGTCACAAGAAGCTCAAGAGCTTCAGTCACAGCCTGTGTTGCCAGGGGAAGGCGTTTGGCTCATCAGAGTAGTTTGTATGTAAATCTAGTGAGGTTATTTGTGTTTCAGTGTTACTTAGAAGTCAAACAGACCTTCCAGAAGGAAATTTTAGTCAAATCAACACATGCATTCCACCTTCCTCCCAATGGGGAAGCAATTAGAAAAGCAAGGAGAGTATTCCCAAACAGCATTGCTTAACAAACAGGTTTGAAGGGTTTGCTTGCTTTTTTTTTTTTTTAATCCAATAATAACACTGATTTAATGTCTCTTTTTGTCTTTGTGTTTCACTCCCTCATGGTTTAAGCATAGACAATCATGTATGAATCTTCTGTTTTGTACCAGTTCATTAGAGTGTTGCTAATCCAATTTTTTTCTTGTTGCATAATGGGAAAAGATGCAGAAGATAATGCTCGTATCTCATGTATTCTCAGGAGGGCAATAAGAGATGAAAAAGCTCCAGAAATACAAATCTAAAATTGCTTATAGCAATATGTATATCATATATATATATATAAGATAGCTAATATTCTGCATGTTGGTAGGCAATCCAGTCTGATTACACCTGCAAGGTGAGGGCTGGCAGTTATCCAGTCAGAAATGTTGGGTTTTGTTAGTCAGACCATGTTCTGGATTCATACAGCAATGGCTGGGTGAAATTTTGTGGCTCATGTTACGCAGGAAGGCAGGAGAACAGGTCTTAGGGGTTCACTGGTCTCTTGAGATGAATTTTTGGGGATTTGGGAGTCAGGCTCTCAGAGGAGGAGAAGCACACAAACTTTTATCCATGGTTGATATTCCAGTGAAGTACCACCTATGAGAAGAAGAGAAAGGAAGAGAGTAAAGGGAGCTTACACTATACACAAAAACATACTTCATAGATGTAATGGAAGTGTAAAAATATTGTCTGCCTTGTTCTTAGAGGTGGTTTTAAAAATTACTGTAGAAGTCAAAAGAGTCACTCCTGGAATTTCAGTTGAGATTTTCAGAGGAATTCTTATTTAATGTCATCATATGATTTTCTCATCACTAGGTTGGAGAAGTTCAGTGCCCAGTTCTGCAGTACTGCCTTGGAGCTGCCTCCTTTTGAGTTTTGTGCCTTGTTTCTCGGGGAGCCTATCAACAGAGTGGATTTAACTTGGTAAGTCTGTTTGGCTGTCACTGTTAATAACGTGCTCAAACTCAGATAATTTCATTTCTGTCCTTTTGTAAAAACAGGTTTGTTTTTCAGACCTTTCCCCCCTCGAGACCACAGTGATGTAAATGCTAACAGAACTCTGTGCATTTGTGCATGCACGTGTCCCAGAGCCTAGAAGCACAATTTCCCATAAACATTTCCCAGCTGGGAGCAAAAGCAGGTTTTCACATTAAAAGCACCTTTTTATGTTCACACGAAAGCTCTGTGTGAGCTGGCTGTGCTCAGGCAAGTGCACTTCATTAGGTAATTCTGCTCTCAACTGTGTGCTCACAAACCATTCCCATTTAACCTCGGAGAAGGATGTGCGTGTGTGAAGTCAATGAGCTCTTGCAGCCCTGCAAATCATCCTTTTGGAAACTATTAACAACTACAATAATAATATTTTTCAAGCTGCTTCCTGAGGTTAACAGCTAAAGGCCATTTGAGATCCCTGATCCATTTTCCATAATATCATGCCTAAAGGAATGGTGTGGTGTCCAGCCCCCGTGGAGAGATGTGTGCCAGCCACAACAGCCAGAGCTGTCAAGGTTGTCTGGGGGCTGAGAGGCACCACAGGTACTCAGTGTAGGTAAGTTTGTACTCAGAACAGCACAATAATCAACCAGCAGCAAAGTCCTTGTTCCTGCTGGCTTCCATAGGGGTAACTCTCTGAGCTTCCCTCCCAGCCTGGTGTTTCATGGAGGTGGGCTGGGCTAAGGGATTATAGCAAATAGCAGTAAGCTTCTAGACTGAGGAGAAAACAGCAGTAGGAGGGATGTGTGTGCAGAACATCTGCTTGGCTGCTGGCATCGGAGACAGTGCCACTGCTGCATGGTGGCCAGCCAGGAGCAGAGCCACTGCTCTTATCTTTGTGTTGTGGTGGCATTGGAGACCCATTGGCAGTGCCAGTGATTTGCTTTGGTCTGTTTAAAAGATGGCTGAAGGCTCAAGAACATCAAATTCCAGTGACCTTTTAGAAATGTAGGTATCTTTGGCCTGCTGAAAATAAGAGTGTACTTTAAAAATTCAGAGCTATTGTCTTCACACAGAACAAAAAGCATTAAAGCATGAAAAGTCCAACCCCACGTTCCTCATCTTATCCTGTGGGAGTTGTTCTTGATCTTGCAAGACCCCACACATTATTGCTGTGGGTGCTTATATCTGACAGTCTCTTTTGTAATATGGCTGCTGTTACAAATCCCCTCTTTTTAATAATGACCTGCTTTTATTCAGAAATAGTTGGGCTGCAGTGGCCCAGTCTATTTTAGATAACAAAGTCTGTGCTTTTTAAAGCTGAACTGTTTGAATGCTTTTTAAGCCCTTCTTTTAAAAAGAGAAATCTGATTTTCTCAAACACTTTAGGTTGTACATTTGCTATAAAAAACCCACATGCTGCTGATGTGCTGGGGTTTGTGACTTTTTTTAATAAAATGTTTTCCAAATAAATGGGAAAATTCCCCATGGACACAAGGGTATCAGCAGTAGTGCTAAACATCTGGTTTGTCTCTGTAGACTGCACCATGTGGAACCCAGAATATCTGGTTCAGTGCTGTGCCTGTCTCCCAGTTATATTGAAAACATCAGCTTTTCTTGGAGAACATTTGGTAAAAGCTCCCTTCATTGCTTTAAGCCAATTCCCATGAGGATATTACTGCTTCAGATAGATGTGAAATAATTCAGATTAGAGAAAAACAAAGTTGTCAACATTTGTGTACAGAATAAAACACTGCATTGCAATTGTAAGTGTGGGACAAGGAAAATTCCAACAACATGGAATACATTGCAATTCTAATTTCCCCCTCAACATTTCCAGCTTCAATAGAATATTTTCTGGTCTGGAAGACTGATTTTTTTAATAAGAAAAATTATTAATGTTACTGAATTCTGTCAATAGTTCTGTCTTATCTAAGCAGACAAATGCTTGTCATGTAAGTATGAAGCACAGCCGATCCAAACAAGATCTTGATTTTTGTCCCTGTTTCAACAGCTGTATGTCAATATGATGTGGTAAAGAAAGGTAAGAGAACAGACTTTCTAATGATAAGGTTAAGGAGTTATTTAGGGGAAAAAAACTGAGCCCAACAGCTGCATTTTGTCTAATGTTTGCAAGATTTATAGAAAATGTGTCTGCTGTAAACTATAAACCAAACAGCCAGAATTATCTGCAGTAACAGGATCTTTCAAAATCCTCTGAAAGAGACTCCATGAATTACAAATTCTCTGCATTGTCTTCTGATTCAATTGCACAGAATAATGTGATCCATTCCTCTCATGTGCATCAGTTTTACTGGATTATATGTATGCCATGAGCATGGTTTGTGGTTGAAAAGGGAATTACACTGCCACAGGACAAGAATGAAGAAGCATAATTAAGAGACAAGTCATGAACATCCTTTATTATGGTCTAACAGCCATGCTAATAGTCTCCCTTCACATTTATGTGTAAAAGGCACTTTAAGAGGCAGTGTCTTACAAAATGAATTTAATTTTGACATTGGGATGCTGCTATAACATACACAGGCTGCAGATGACATAAAACATTTGTCTGCCATGTACCTCAACTGAGAGACGCAAACACAAACTTGATTGGGGGGAAGCATCGGAAAACAGGGCTTTTAGTGCTAGGCTTTTTGTACCCAGAGGAACAGTGTTTTTCCATTTAAGACCTTTTCACCTTTGTTTACAGTAGAGATATAATTAATACATAAATGGTGACAAGAGGTTTTCAGCCAGATTACGCATGTGCAGAAATCCATACGTGAAGCTGGAACATCTGTCTCCTGGAAATGTGGCCCTGGAAAGGGAGAGAACCTGTGTAGATATGAACCTCACACCTGCATAGCAGAAAGGCTCCTTCTACCTCTCCTTCCACCCATCTGCTCCTTGCCCAAGGAATCCTTTTTTTTTGCTGTTTTCAGTGCCTATGGAAACAGAAAAACTAAAGAAAGATGAATGACTTATGTGTGAAATTTCCTTCCAGGGAACTAACTGCAAATTGCAGTGGTTATTAATACTAGTATCTCAAGTCTAATCAGGAAAAATTAAGAGCAAACATACATTTTGTATCCTACAGTCTACATTTGGGCTAGAAAACAAGAACTCCTTTTCTCTTTTTGGTACGGATTTTCATTTTCTTGATTTTGTTGTTTGTTTAAAGAAAATAACGGAAGAAGGAAATGCCATTTCGGGAAAAAGAAAAGCTCTCTTGTCACCTGGGATATGGAGAATCCAAGGTCAAATCCAGGGTGTTAAAGGGGCAGAGAGGGGGCTCCCCTGCCTGGGATGGGAGCCTCTGTAGGGTATCAGTGTGGTGTGGGCTGTTGCTTTCTCAGGTCTGTAGCTGGGAGTTCCCCTTGTGGGTAGAACTTTACCCCAACTGCTCGTGCTTCTGGATGTTCAGTGCCAAACTGGCCAGTCTGTTCCCTTTCCTACACTGGTGTGGGAATTCTCTTGGCTTAAATCATGCCTTATGCCAGCTGATTGGAAAAGTGGGAGAAACTCAATACGCAGTTTTGAAGTTTTCCATTTCCCTGTCCAAAATGGTTTTGGGCAGCGGGGTTCAGTGCTTTCATTTAAGCAGCAATTTTATGTTACAGATGGAAAACAAAATGCTTAAAGTACAATTTCCTGTAGGATTCTGCTGAACTTTGAACAGGAATGAGAGGACAAATTGTGATAATGTTATCCTTGCCAAAAGTTATCTTGCTCTACACCATAAGATGCTATTTAATGCCAGCAAAAGCTTCGTGTTCTGGTCCAGCACTTGTTGGCATGCTCTGTCTGAAAGTCAGATGGAGAAAAGCTGTGTACACATCCTTCCATGAAATAGTTAACTACCTTGTAATCAGTAATACATTTCCTGTTGTTGTCTGTAGAACAGAGATGTATTTTAAGTATCATTCACCTTTAGCTTTTACTTTGCTAATTTTTTACACTTCTATGTTTCATACACCATTCTTACCGACTGCACAAGATCAGCAGTGCAGATATTTAGCAAGCTTCCCTTCCAACAGTGTTTTATTTTTATTTAGGAGTTTTTAGTTTGTAACCAGTCAGTCTGTAATTCTGATGAGCTGCGTCAAAGTCTCCCCATGCCAGATTCTGTCTTTGTGACATTTTTGGAACTCCAGAAATAATAGTGAGGAGTTAAAAAGGCAGTCCAACAAGACATTGGAGCAGGCAGCTACCTAGAGAGACTGCAGGAAGTAATAACATTTATTAAATATGAGAAAAAACTAGCAGCTGACTATACTTTGTTTAATGCAAGTAATTATATGTATTATTTTGATAGAACAGCTTTGACAAGCCACTCAGATGGTTTAAACAGCATCGTTACACGCAAATCTGACTCTGTTACTGTTAAGGGGCTCAGTTGATTTATTAGTGCAGTGCTGCCTTACACTTGGTTTATTCTTTGGACATGTTTCCAGAGGGTTTAGTTTCACAGTCTCTTGGGCATCGCATTTTGTTGACTAGCCATCATCTAAACTTGGCCAGGAGCAATCAGATGAGCTTTCCGCCCAAGCTCTATAAGCTACATCTGTTCTCAGTAATTGACAGTGCAGAAATCCTCCCCTAAAACTCTTCCTTGGGGCACTCTGTATCCTCACTTGCCCTGCACATCCATCACTAAGTTGGCTCTACACATCAGTCACCTGCCGTGTCTGCACTGTTGCAGCAAAACTTCCAGTGCTGGGGAAGGATGATGTGGCTTGGGAGAAAGAGGTGGCATCACAAACAGCAGCAAAGGAAGGCTGAATATCGGGGAACATTTGACAGGACTCACAGGATGCATCTCTGACAGCACAGGCCCACAGCAGTTGCCCCATTTTTCCCATGAAAGCCAAGGCATTTGGATCTCAGCAGGTCACATTTGCTGTTAGAGTTCCCGTCCCTGAAGAGGGCATTAGATGAAAGTGCGGCGATTCAATCACATTTCCTGTTTGGCACCACCACGAGAATCAATCCAAGGAAAAGGAGGTGGGTCACAGGAGAGCAGAAAAGGCCGTGGCTCTGTGTGAGCACTGCCCAGCGACAATGAAAACATCCTCAAATTATCAGCACAAATCCAAGACACAGCCCCATACCAGGCACTTGGCCCCAGTCCAAAGCAGCACACTGAGGTGTTTGCATTGTCTCCTTCTGCTTTTATTAATGGATTTTTATGTGAGAGTGTGATGGCTGAAAAGCAACCTGCTGCGGTCGCTACGTAAATTTGGAAAACTCTTCTTGAAATTTGACCCGAGTACTATTGTGTGTCCAAATGGATTTAGTGTATCATAACGCTCCTAGAAAAACAAAAGGACAAAGAAGATGGGATTGCTAAGGGAGACATTAGATTTCATTTCACACTGGTAATAGTTTAGAGATGTGTGCCGAGCAAAATGGGATTCAATTCTGTGGCACTTTTCTTTTTTATTGCTGCTAAGTGATTTCAATATCCAGTCTAAAGTGATATTGAGAGGGTTCGATGGAACGGGGATGAAATCAGGGAGCGCTGGAGGCTCAGAGGAGGCCACAAATCTCCGGCTGACTGGAGGGAGCCTTCCTGAGCCATCCCAGCTGACCTCAGCGGGTGTTATTTAACCTGGAGGCTGCTGGTAAGTACCTTGGAATGTAAGGCATTGTTGGGTGCTAGAGGGAAACGACGTGCCCAGATTGCATTCTGGACATCAATTGATGTTACATGGTTATGGCTTTGGCCCTGAACTTCCCGCTCTCAGGAACATTTACGGCTAAAAGTCTATTGCCCAGCTGTTGCTGCCTGATAGACGAATCATAACTGGGAAATGCTTTAAGCCCTGTAACCTTTCAATTTATGGCTGTTGGAAGCAGATGGGGATTGCTACACAAACAAGGAGGCATACCTGCAGTCCACCAGGTGATGGGCACAAATGTTGTGCTTAGGGGGGGACACTTCTCGTGGATGTATATCCCGCTTCTGATGAACTCACAACGGCAGAAGGTGAGTGTTGTCTGTTCTACATATTCTACATTGTTACGGTCAGAGCAATTTCTCAGTTTGTTGAGTTTTAACTCAACTGTTCATAATTTGCTTTGTATGGCAGTGTACAGTGTAGGATCCTTAATCAGGTGATGACAGGGGAATGCTGAGGGGCGCAGGTGGAACTGTTGAGAAGCTGCATTTTGGCTTCTGCAGGTTTTGGGCAAAGAACTGAGGAAGTGTGAAATGAGGGCAATATAGAAGAACACATCAGACAGAGGCAGTGGCTCAGTAGGCGCACACATTAGTGAGGGTTTCACAAATCTGTTTTTGTTTTCTCTGTAACAGGGTTACAATAGAAAAACAAGCTTCTGTTCTGCAAGAAGAGGCTCCGGAGTTACACTGAATTGTCCTTGCTATGCTTTCGGAATCCTTTATATTTCTAGGCATCATCTCATTTTTTTCTAACCAAACACTGAGCTGCTGATAAAGTGCCGTGAAATTTAAAAAACAAAACAAAAACAACCAACCTTTGAGAGGATTTTGAATTCGTGTCTTGCGGTTAAACAGCCTTGGCTTTTTTCTCTTGGAACCAAATATGCCTCCTAACTTATGTTAGCATAGAATATTTTGTACAGTTTCTGTGGAATACTTTGAGAGCAAACTTTTACTTAGCTGCATAGTATTTTGGTTTAAAACCAGTTGGAGTAAATAATGCCAAAAACCAGGCACGGTTTGGTGAAAGCTCCCCATGGCTTTTATTTAGTCCACGTGCTGTGTTTCCATTGGAAGGTGCTGGCGCCTGGCGCGGTGTGCGAGGCTGGGTAGGGAGGAGAGGCGAGCTCTCAGCCCTGTGCCCGTTCCAAACCCCGGTGCCCTCGTGGCCAGGCAGCCACTTAGCTCCCACCAAGTTTGCTTGGAGGAGCCCTGGCAGAGGAGGCACAGGGACACCCGCGTGGGGCTGGCGGGGGAGCAGGGCAGAGCGCCCGGCGTTCTCACCTTCCCCCTGCTTCCACCACCGAGCAGCTCTCGGCTCCCAGGGGCTCCAGCCATTCCTGTGGCTTTCCCCACTAGGCTTTTATGTGAAGTGACAGCTCTGGCAGCAGGCATGACTTCTGCAGAGTCATCAATGATTGCTTCTAAAGCTTCATTAGCGGTGCAGAGCACACCAGCAGTGCTGTGCTCAGATTTGAAGTGGCACCGTTTCATTTTTCTATATGTGAGCAGATAATTTGCTTTGTGCTGAGATACTTTGCCTGTGTAATAATTTATTGGCTTCTATAGCATCCAGGGACTTTATTTTTTAAGACGCAGAGCGCGTTTGTGAAATGCGTGTTCCTGGTATTATTAATTTTCTCTTGGCAACTGAATTCTCTTTTCTGCAGCAGAGAATAATGAAACGAGATGTGTTTGCTGGATTCCGGTTTAGTTTAAGAAATCACAGTGGCAATTTACATATGTTTCACCCTTACATCAAGATTTTCACTATTTACCATAACTGGATTAGATTCTAGTTATGTGCAGAACTGACTGGAAAATAAACTGGCGTCCTGATTTGCATTCATTCTGCACCAGTAGTTCCCCTGTCAAATTTGCTCAGTGTGGAAGATTTGGCCAAGAGCTGTGTTTGTGTATTACCTGTTACTGCAGGCAAAAGCTTCAAGTATGAGTTGGCCCAAACCCCTGACATATATAAGGAATGACATATTGTTACCAGGGAATAGGAATGTTGGAATTACAATGCATTTAATGCTCAGTGTGGAAAAGGGCTGGGGGAAAGTTTGTGCCAGGTTGCCAGGAGCCCTCATTTACAGAGTGTGAAAATAGCTGCTGAATGCAAGGTGATCACACTCTGTGACTCCCAGATAGCTTCCTGCTCCCATTCCTGCCCTCCAGGGCAGAGGGGTCAGGGTTGGGGGATGTGTTGATCAGACAGCAAAAGAGCTTGCTGTTAGCAGCATGTGGGTGTGCTAAAATCTTCCAACTGAAGAAGGGGGTAAACTGGAGTTTATCTGCTTTTTTGCACTGTCTCAGTTTACTTTAAAATTCAGCTTGTTATCTTGCATCTCCTAGAAGCTGCCAGTGAACTGTTGTTTGTATACAGCCCCGAGCAGCTGCACATGTCTTTACCATGGTATTTAATTATCATTCCTATAGGAGCTCTTGGCCCTCTCCATGCAGATACAAAATGGCATTAATTGTGTAGGAAGTACATAGGCAGTGTGAGATACCATGAGCAATAACATGAACATGTCTCAGGAGCTGAACAGATTGGTAAAAACAAACCCCAAAAAACAACAAAAAACCCAAACTGATAAATATTATGGTAATGATGTTTTGGTATTATCCAATGGCCAAGTGACTGCTTTCAGAGATCCCAAAGATCTCAGTTCCTAATTGGCAGTGACATCTTGATGCTAATAAGATAATGATGATGCCAATGGAAGATGAAGTGATGGGGACACACTAAACCAAAAGGACACCAGGAAGGGCTTCCTTAAGTAGTAGGACACTTCATTGAGTGGAAAAAATGCCTCTCATTGTTCTCATTTCTGCTCTTTGGGTTTTGGTTTTGTATGTTTTTTAAATATATGTTAATTCTTTTATCCCTTTTATGTTTTATTTAATCTCACAGTATCAGTGTTCCAGCTGCTTTAAACAGAGAACATTCCTGTGACCTGTTTCAGGGAGAGGAAGTGTTCTAAATTTTCTAAGCCTTTCCTATTACAACATTTCTCGTTAAACACCTGACATACAGAGATAACCTGTACCCATTTCAGTCTGGTACCAGGGCTCTTTTGTTGCTACTGCTTCTATGCAACAAGCTGTGCATGAGCAAAATTTTACTTAGTCATGTTGATCCTCCTAATGTTTCCAGCGCAGCAGAATATTGCCATGAAATAAAACAAAAAAATGGCTAATTTTACTAGACTTTGTGCCTTTACTTGTGGGTAACTACAACATTATAACCTTCCTGGCTCTGTACCATTGCCAGGAGGTAACAAATGTACCAAATAAAAGCTGTTGCAAAGATGTGCTCATGCTCTAGGAGTCTGGTCTAGTTTTCTCTAGATACAACACAATTTCATGTTTCTGTAATTATGTTTCAGTCACATGTATAAAATCAATCCTGCAGACTTGAAATTACTTGCTGCTTTTGCTTCATCATGTAGGGGCACGTTTTAATTCTCCGGGAAGGTTAATAGCTTCATGCATTCATTGTTTAAGTAATTCCTTAAATCCTCAATGCTCACATGAGCAACGTTACCGGCTTATATTTTCTTTTATTGAAATATATTGCAGGAAAAACCTTAGAGCTACTTCATTAAGTTCCATTGTAAAATGCTGTGTGCCTCAGAAAGAAATACTAATCTGTAATACTTGCTCTTAAAGGGAGGCCTCAGCTCTCTGCTTGAAAATCTGCAGGAAGTATCTCTAACTTCATTAAAGACACCAGTAGGTGCTCCTGTGCTGCTGCTGCTGCCAGTGAAAAAAGGTTCCCTTCCTCAAGGGTGAGTGTAATATCAGGATTAGAATTAAGTTAGTTAAGGAAATGCTGATTCATCGGTATTTTCACCTCAGGCTGAGATAATGCTACTCACAGCCTGGGTAAAACAAAAATCCCCTTTTTCCCCTTACCCCTCAGGGATTAGAATTTTTTTCTTATTGTTTTGAGTATACAGAGATGGAAGTGCAGAATGATTGAGCTGAGATCCAAAGGGGACTCCAAGGAGTGCTGAAGCTGTTGGTGAAAAGCTATGCTCTTTGAAATGGCCCCGTGGGTTCATAATGAGTATCATTGCTCCCCATGGTGGTGGTTGGGTTTGATTCCTTTTGCTACCGCTGGTTTAGTAAAATACACTTGGTGATGATGCTGGGTGGCGTACCTCAGTGAAAATGTATTGATTTTCAATTTCAAAGTCCATTTTTTGAAATGTTCTTACACTGTGTTTTTACATACATTTGCTTGTAACTTAATTGCTGTATCTGTAAGCTGCTGCACATCCTGCTGATGTAGCTTAAAGAGCCATATAAAGCTGTGAGAAAGGTTCAAGAGATCTTTCTGGGGTAAGGAAGGAATTAAGGTTTTTTGAAAGTTGAATTCCTCAGGACTTAGGTCAGATTGTTGCTTATACACTGTTGACACCTCATCTAAAGTATCTGTTGACTTCATATTTAAGGGTTTATGCCACTAAATGACTGAGCTCAGTAGGTCAGATGGTGCATATTTGGGAGCTGAACAACAGCCACAAGAAAGAGCAGCTTAATGTCTGTTTTAAAACTGTTAAACCTGCAGAAACTCCTGAAGTATAAAATGGAAAAAACATTGATGCTCCCTAAGGGAAGCTGTGTGATGGAACATTTCCAACGAGGAAGGGAAGGGAGACAGTGTGAGCAGAGGAGAGCACGGAGGACAGCAGTGATGGTTATTGTGTGAGAGATGATTAAAGCAGCTGCTAATGCACTCTGTGCTTTCTGGGTATTTGAATGGCAATATCTCCCATTGGTTCTCTCAGACAGTGACACTCAGAGGCGCTGCCGAGCACCTCCCTTTTCATAGAGTTTATCTCAGTCCCGTTATTTATTTCACTTTGGAAAATAGCCTTTATATTATTCTGCCTGAGGAAATGGAAGAGTATAATAAAAAGCTGGGGTTGAACAGCAGTGGCTTCCTCTGTTGAAGAAAGAGCTGTGGAAACTGGGTATTGGACAAACCTCCTTAGCAATAGGGGCAGGAAGATCAGTTCTTAAAAGGCTGGCAATGAGCACTCCATATCATTAAATCCTAATTATTTGCTGTAAGACTTTATTTCAATTCTCAGCTTACAGGATAATAAACAAGGCATGTACACATCCATGCTCAACTCATCTCTGAGGAGTAGGATTTAAACCACGTGAAGTTGTTTTGTTTATTTGGATTTTTAATCTGCGTTGGGTACCGCTATTGGAACTCAGGTTTGTTTATTTTCTTTGCGGGTTTGTTTGTTTTCTAGTGCCTTTAATATATCACACTTGATAAATTGCTGACCCCCTCCATAGTCCATTAGCATAGCAGAGCTCCCAGATGAATTGGGATGAGCTTGCTGAGTCAGCTGACAGAAGAAGAGAGGAATTGTGTCTGGCAGCAGCACGGAGTTACTTTGGCTTCAGGTGGGAATGACCTCACATTTGTCATCTGTTGTTTATTCTCTTGTCCTCCGCTGCTCCAGGAGAACCAGTGGGGGCTGGTTGGATCGGAGCTTTTATTTGTTAGTGTCACTGTGTATTTATGGATTTGTTTTGCACTTTGTGGGGAAGGTGCAGAGGTTTATGCAGCGATCCTTGGAGACGTCGTGTCGTCAGCCAGGAGAAGGTTTTTTCACGGGAGGACGTGCCCAGTGGCTCCGGAGCGCACAGAGCTCGTGGTCATGAGACCAAACCGAGGTCTCGTTACTCTGCTGTTTCCTGGTCATGTACCAGTGATGCCACACACAGGCACCTCAGGGTGATATTAAGGATGGAACTGGTTTTGCATGTATTTTGTGGGAAACGGGTCAGTCCTCAATACCAAACCGACAAAGGATTCAGACCGTGAGGTAGGAGTGAAACTCCGGCCTCAGGAAGCAGCAGGAATGGTTTTGGATGACAGCACAAAACAAGATAAATACCACGTTACCTCTTGGGTCAACTGCTTGTGTAGTCCCTGTCAGGACTGTAACATTTTTATGCATACTGCACAATTTAGGATCAGACGGCTTTTTTTTTGGCTTTTTTTCCTTAACCTTGCTGTTCAAGATAAAGTGTAGCAAAATAGGATAGCATTTTGATTGCTGTAATCAGACCTACCACACTTAGATGTTCTGAAGTGGTTTTCATCTCCTAATTTTCTGCTACCAGTAGCATTTATGACCCACTTTGCTTCCTCTTGAAATCACAGCTTCTGAAACAGAGCAGCCACCATAAGAGGCTGCCAGCAGCCTTTGCAGCTCTGAACTCCTGTTTCTCAGCACCTCAATAATATTTTTCGTCCCTGGATCCCAGGAAGCTGTTTTGGATCATGGCTGCTCCTTGTTCTTTCCTGATCATACTAAAATTTCAAGGGTAACATTAAAAAAGCCCTAGAAAATATCGGTCTGATGCCCTCCTTAGTTTCATGGGCTCTAACTACTAATTGCCTTTGAGAAAACCTAGCCCAAACTATTAATTTTTTTTTATCTCCTCCTTCATTTTATCAGCAAATTTAATTAAACTGACCACAAAAGAACCCAAAAATATGAGTACAAAAGATATTGAATTTTTTGACAGATACGAATGTGCTAATTAGCTTTCAATTCAGTCATGTTTAAAAAAATGAAGTCTTTAGTACACATCTCTCCTATTCTTTATTAAAAGTAAAGAATTAGAGAAGTTCCACCTGTCAAAGGATAAATAATAAAGCTTTCAGTATATTGAAACAATATTGGTAAATCTTACTGATACGCTGTTTATAAACAAAAAATACAGTGCTGAAATTCTAAGGGGATTCTGCACTGCTGAATCTCCCTCTAGTTTTGAGAACAAGGCAATTTTTACTCTTTTTCTAGAGCAATTTAAATTGTTTCTTTTTTAGTTGTATGGTTTTGCACTAATGTTTCTTTTCAAGCTCTGCTTTTGGGGGCCTCCTTTCTCCTTGTTTCTTATTGAAGCGTTGAGGATCATTTGAGTCAAACCCATTAACTTTGCCATGGTTTTCAATCAAGATCTTTGCAAAATGCCCAGTTCCACAGTGGCTTTAATGGAAAATATAGATTGCTTCATATTTGATTTAGACCTCACCCCTGTGCTTGTTTGCTTTGTTTCCCCTCCGGTTATCAAGCTTTGTATGATTTTTCTCAGTCTTTCCTTAGCATAAGCATGTAAGCTGGACAATTGCTCTGCCTCTAATTGTTTTTGCACTGCTCTGAAAGCCATTAATGTTATTTCTGGTGATTGCAGCTAAAAATGAAAACATCCAGTGGGAAATCCAGGGTCTGCTGGAGTTAAGGAAAAGCTCCTCTTGAGTGAACATTTTTTCCTACCCATCTGGGCATGCAGGTCAAAATATAATTAATAATTAGATCCTGGTTTGTCTCCATCCTGCCTTTATTTGGGATGGAAACACCGATAATCTTGAATGGAAACAGTAGCAGTAGCTAAACAGTGAGAGTGTAGGATTTATCAGCAAGGGACAGGATGGTTTGGATGGGTAGGATGGGCTTTTCCTGCAGAAAAGGTAATTGCTGTTTGTGTCTCTTACAGGTGTTCCAGGCTGTGTAACGGGATTGTTCTTCCCAAGCCGTTGGGTTGTTCTTGCAGGCTGCAGGCGGAAGGAAGCGTTGCTCTTTTCCAGTCATCTAAAAGCATCTGAAAAAGCAAAGGTAAGGGACTCAAGGTTTTTCCAAAGGCTTGTGCAGAATATGACAAATACATGAGACTTCATCACTTTATGAGCAAATGGAAACAATGTCATTTGTGTCCCAGCTGTGCTCCCAGAGCTCTATTTCCAAGCAGCCCTACACAGGAACGGGCAGGGCTGGCGATGGGACTGATCCAGGGATCTGTTTCACGCATTGTGAGATTTTGGAATGTAATTTTGGAGTGCAGTTTATGAAAGTATGGGTTTTACTCATTAAAAATGTGCTTCCTAGCTTGAGCAGGTCTAATACACAGTTAAACTTCTCAGCCTGCCTGCACCCAAACACAGATTTTTCACTTTGTAGGGATTCCAAAGAAAGGGGATAGGAAATATCATCTACTATAAGAGAATTAAAGAGGAAAAAAAAATTGAAAAAGAATCTAATATTGCTCAGGGGTCCCTCATGTTTTACAGAAGGCTTCTTCCATGGGCTCTCTTTTGCTTCATTTTGTCCTCCTGTGTTTGTCAGTCACCTTTTAAGTTTTGGCCTGAGAGCATCCTCAGTGCAAAACTGATAATGGGATGCTCAGAAGGATGGTCACTGGAGACAGTCTCAGCAGGAAAGCCCTCATTCCATCACTTCCCAGTTTGTGCTGGACAGGGATTTTTATTTTATTTTTCTTTTTGGTCATACCATATTTCGGAGACACGGCCAGCTTGGCTTCTTGGGTTTTCAGCAACGTGGGCTGTTGGTTTTGTTAGTTTTTGTCATTTCCCTGGTGAAAAATCTGATGTCACCAACACACGCAGAGTGTACACAAACCTTGAGAGAAAAGAGCAGATTTGTTTATTGAAAAACATCCCCATGTTACTTCTGGTGGCAGGGGAAGTGTAAAGGCAGAAAATTATTCAAACCCCATGTGTCCTGACTGCAAAGTGAATTTTTAGGAATATGTAGCACAATAAGCCAGTAGATTCACTAGAAAGCTTCTACTTTTTTTTTTTTCTGGTTTATTTCATCATTTCCATTTGACCCTGTTTCCAAGGCACGAGTCTCCCCAGCTTCTCTGAGGTGAGCATATGAGCAGTACATGGATATCACAGCCATGTTTTAATATCCAGCTGCTGTTTGTGTGCCAGTGGGGAATGGCTGCATGGCTGGCTGGAGTACCCTGGGTGAACCTGCTGCTTACATAAAAATATTTCTGAATAATAGCAGTCAATGGCCATTTAATTTGGGCAGTTGCTGATCCTTGGCATAGATTGTTGAGAAGGTGGGATAGCAGAGAGAAAGCAGGTGGAATGAATGGAAGTAGGGAAACTGTTCAGTGGCGAGGAAAGCGAGCTCACTCTTTCTTCTCTGCCTTTATAGATAGAGGATTGGGGTCACAAAAGCTCCATGTGGGTTTAACATCCTTGGAAATGCCAGGAACAGAGTAATTGGATGGCTGGAACAGACTGTGGATGCAGCTCTTCCATCCCTGCCCTTGGTGAATGAAACCCTTTTCACTCTGCATTCACAGCTAACAGATTTTTTGCTTCAGCGTGGATGGTTTCACCTCTGCGCCAGGCAGCAGCCCCAGGGGTAAGGTACAGATAATTGGAGCAAATCACTCCAAACCCTCCTGAAAGCACTGCATTATGCATGCACCAGCTCTAAAAATGGACAATTAGAAAGACACCTCTTTTAGAAAGGGCTTTTGTAGTGAGCAAAACAAAATGATTTCTTCAGGTTCCAGTGCAAAATGGGTGGCTGCAAAGCATGTGCATAGATTTCTGGAGATACGATACAAGGGAAGTGATAATAATAACCTTTTACTGCCACCAGAGAGTCTGCACAAAGATTCCATCAGCATTTTGCACAGCATGATAAAAAGAATGTGTGAAATCCTCAGCATCGGTGGAGGTTCAAAGTGAAACAGAGTCAAGCAGAATAAGGTAGCCATAAAGGAAAGAAATAGCTAAATGATATTAAGGAAGCTGAGATAACTGGAACATGTAACAGCACAATAGCTTATGGAGTCTGCTTCTGCTAACGGAGGCAATCTTTAGCACCCGGTGTCTCCCTTCAGTCTGGAAAGGCTGGAGTGAACAAAACATGAAAAGTAGGGGTTTATAATGATAATTTGAAATTTGAAGACTACTTGAACTCTGACCTCTCCATAAAAAGAGAGGCTCCCTGTCTCTGCCAGCATCCCAGTGTTGAACGATGCCTGGCTGCTGGTGGCACGGAGCGAGCCAGCAGGATATGGAGTGACTGTGGGAAGGGATTGCCTGGAAAGAGTCCCCCTTTAGGGAGCCTGGGATCCTGCAGCAGCTGCCCCTGATGAGGCTGAGTTTGTTGAGACACTTCCCATCATTTAAGGGACAAAAGCCTAAAGCCCCTCCCAAAGCTACTCAGTCCAAAATGGAGTGGTGGATGAAGTCAGCCTTTATCCTGAAATATCCACGCTTCTCTAAAATCAAACCCCAAAGGTTTTGTGTTCAACTGTTGCATCTCCATAGGAACTCTATTCTGGAGCCTTTCTCCCATGGAAGTCTCCTGCCTTGTATCTGAGGCTGAAACCAGCTGAGACAAAAGTATTTTGAAGGGGTGCTTTTTGGTTTTTTACCATTTACAGCTACACATTTGTCTTCAAAAGCAAAGGTCAGAGGGTTGTGTTCATTAGAAATATTTTTAAAATGTGTATCTCTGAGCTCTTCAAAGTCCAGAATAATAAAAAACAGAATTGCAGAAAAGGAGGTTAGAGAAGACGAGAAAAAAAAAAATTAATGTATTTGTCTTTAGACTTGTTTTTATGATCCCCATCTCTTACATACACCAAGGTTTTAAATCAAGCAAATTAAACCTTACCACAGTTCACCTTTGAGCACAGGGCAGAGGCAGAGATGGCTCCAGAGGTCACTGTGCTACTGCAGCAACCCAGCAAGAGCCAGTGTAATTTTGTTTAAATTCAGAACACGTTCTGACAACACATGCCCATCTGCTAACCCTCTGGCTGAGAGTCAGGTCTGCACAAGTAATAGAAAGATGCAACTCCTGTTCTAGTCTGATTTTTTTGCCCCTTCAGATGCCTCCAAGAATTTTTCAACTGCCCAAAAGTTTTCTAACAGTATGAGAAAATGGGCAGCGAATGCAGGAGGACAGAGAGAGGCAGATGAAAATAAGGAGGGAAAAAGCCAATAGTTTGTTGTTGGAAAATGGATGTGGATGGATGGATATGGATGGGTGGGTGGGTGGNGGGTGGGTGGGTGGAGGCTCTTGTGGAATGGTCAGGATGTTACTGAGCTAGGGGTGGAATCACATATACAATCACTGATAGTGGTTATTGTATCAGTATGGATTTGGAGCCATGCAGATATTCTGATGGACCTTCAAATGTTTTTGGCAGTTCTGTGGTGTTTGCATCTCTCATGAAAAAACCCCCACTTGTTCCTCAGAACTGGTCCATGTGCCAAAAACAGAGGCAGTCTCCTTCATTTATCCTTTTTCTGTGCTGGCTGGAAGTCACATTACAACATGATGAATTAATTGTGTCTTACAGTGCTACAGGTAGGCTGCACCAAATTGGCTGAGTGTAAAATATTTCAGTGCAGCAATTACCGCAGCTTTGTTCAGAAAGGCTTTTCTGCATATGATATGATGTATAGATGGCCATAAGTAAAGAAGAGAAAGGAATATTAATACATTCTTTTTAAGGAGGAAGAATTCATATGGGAAGCAGAGTAACAGAATCATCAATAATGGACAGAGAAAATATGTGACAAAAAATTCAGTAAAAAGTCAATTTTGGCATGTGAGACAGCCAGAGACAACATAGCAAAAGGCCTTATGGACACTGACATGTGGATGTTGGAAACTGAACCAGTGAAGAAATAAACAAGTGTAGGTGTAAATATGCAGGTTTTGAATGTGAAGCAGTCAGAGTTTTGAGTTAAAACTCAATCTCACCATGCAACCCCTCCAGGAATTGGTGTGCGTACGAGTTCAGCCTTACATGGACAGAAACATGGGGAAAAAAGAGGATTCCATCTCTTGGAAGCATTTGGGATGCAGCTTGTGGTGCTGGAGAATAAAAATAAGGAATTTCAAAGTGTCATTATGGTTAAATGAATGGAGGTTGTGTGGTAAGGTTTTAATTTGCAGCCTAGTTTTAAAAATGAAACAAAAAATACAAAACTACCGAGGCAGGGGAGGTTGTTTGGAGGTTTTTTGTTTGCTTTAGAAAGGATATTTTCTTTCCCACAGTTTGGGCTACAGATGGGTCTCATGGGATTTGCTTTCTGACATAAGGGAGATATTCAGGCTTTCCGATTTCATTACCACTTTCTTCATTATTGTGCCTTGAGGAGCTATAAATAACACATGGCTAATTTGTGAATATGGCACGTTCCAGGGGATGTGTGTATTTTAATCAGGGCACCTTCTGACATTTGGTAATTGGTTTACAGATTTGTTATATAATTTCATGAGTATTAAGTTGCTAAGAGGAAAAAAATCTAAATTTATGTGATGTAAAATCTGCCCTCATTGCACCCTTGCAGCAGCTGTGCTCCTTCCAGGTCTAACTGAGGACAGATTTCAAGTCAACAAGTCCATCAACCAGCATCTATTTTTTCATTTCTCACCATTTTAGTAAAGCAGTAGTTACATTTTTCACAACATCTTTCCTTTAATTAAAAGTTGTGTGTGTGTGTTTGTATCACTAAACAGCTCTTAAGATGGTGGCAGATTTTGTCTGGTGACAAAGGAGGTTTTGTTGGAAGGTGTGTGTTTGTTATTGGGTACGTTTTGGCACGTTATTTGGAACAAGTCACATGCCACTGGCATCTGGGCACTGAGAACATCTGCAGGCAGATGTTCACATACTCCCTTTCCTATTCCTCCCAAATTAGCTTTATTTCCACAACCAAAAGTTGGCTCTCAGGCTGTCCTGTAATCCTGCTGTCCTGGAGCCTGGGCATCCAGTCCTTGGAAATGGGGTGAGGAGTGATGTGTGGCTTTGGGTAAGGAGAATCACCTGTCTGAAATAACAGCACATGACATGGACTAGTAAGGAATATTACCTTCCATTTTTTTTATTATTGGAATCAAAAGTACAGGGAAACAGAACATTGACCTGATCTGAAATTTTAGGTGTTATTATTTGCTTCCTCTCTTGCTCAAAAGACGACATGGCTGTCTGCATTTCCAGAGTGACCTCGCTTCCCTGGCTGTACCTGCCGCCGCACGATGTTTGGGGAAGCTGCTCCCGGGGAATGTTCCAGCTGCAGACGCCTGAGCTGTGCCTGTTCATTACTGCTCACGGGAGAACAGCAGCACCGGCCAGGAACGGCTGCCAGGGAGCCGCCAGAGACACGAAATCCCTACCTTGAATTTATCTAGCTGCCAAAAACTGGCCCTGACTGGGGCAGGCCATGGGTCACTCCCCCATTTTGTGTCAGGCTCTGGAGTCATTCCACCATTTTGTGTGAGGTTCTGCTGTCACTCCGCCATTTTGTGTGAGGTTCTGGGGTCACTCCGCCATTTTGTGTGAGGTTCTGGGGTCACTCCGCCATTTTGTGTGAGGTTCTGCAGTCACTCTGCCATTTTGTGTGAGGTTCTGCAGTCACTCCGCCATTGTTTCAGGCCATGGGTCACTCTGTTACTTTTTGTATGGACAGAGGCTGAGTAAGGCTCAAGGGGTGAGGTGTTTCATAAGAATTAGAACATCCCAGAGATGCTTCTCCGGCTTCTTTTGGCACACCGCGCCCCCATGTTTTTGCTCCAAAGTGATCTAACATTATTTATAAGCGTGTTGTTCTACAGCTCCCGTAACTTTTGGACTTGAATCTTGGTATGTGAACAGTGAATAATATGGCCTAGAAACTGAAGTAGGGTCCATAAGCTCCTGGGAACCTGCACAGGGATGTTTGGGCACTGGGGAATTGTACCCTTCGTGTTGTGAGCTGTCGATAATGGATAAGATCAGACAACTGTTCCTGGGAGGAAGGGAGAGGAAAGATGATCACCCTGGACCTGGAATTCTGAGGACTTCTGTGCTTCTGCTACATTTTTCAAGCTCTTCTACTTAACTAATGCAGTATTAGCATATTTAGAACTGATGCTGAGTAAAACAGAAATATGGTAGAAGTCCACTAAAACCTTGCAATTTCCCTTTCCTGATTTGAGTCTAGTTTTGTTGCAGGAAGGATCGCATCACCCCAAGCTGCAGCAGTGAGTGCAAACATGAGATTTGTCTGCCTGGCCAAATGTTCTCCCATCCATGCATGGCTCTGGCTGCCCTGTGTGCTGAAGAGCACAGCTACCTGTGGCTTGTTTGGACATCAAAAATGCCAAGTGCCTGCCACACATGTTGCCATCTGTCACTGCAGCTTGGATTGAGGCAGCTTGGGCTGTAGGAGGCTGCCTCAGAACAGACAAGGTACAGAAAGTTTTGCCTTTCCAGAGCTTCACCTCTGCTGGCATGTGGAAAACCCTCCAAGGCTTCAGCTTGTGTTTGCCTTCTGCAGAATGCTGCTGGAATTTTAGGACATTTCACATCAGTGCATCTATCAGTGAGCCAGGAGGAGTGCTGAGGGTGCCTGGAATACTCGTGTTGCTTGTGGGGATGAGGACACAGAAGGAGCCGCCTCATTCCCACAAGGAAGGTGAGTGCCTGCGGTGCTGTGCAGTATTGCCCAAGAAAAGTCACAATTGTTTTCATGTTGCTAGGTGGAGATCCTTGACTGTGTCTGGAGCCTGTGGCTTGGGAACAAATGATATTTCTGCAGGGTCTGATGGGGTAACAGCTCTCCTGCTGAGCCAAGCTCCTGGCTCCTGTTGAATTCTGGAGCCAGTCCCTGTTCCCTTGGACTGAAGAGCGGTACAGCCCTGCCAGCAGTATGTGAGGCCATCAGCTCTCCCATATCCTGGTACATACGGACACGTGAGTCTCTTCCCAGAGGATGTTTATCCAGTGCCAGCAGACAGGGATTCACTCAGGCTCTCTTTGATGTGCTTCTTGCCTCGGGGAGGGCATCTCCTTCAGAAGGTGCTTCATGTGGAGAGCAAACAGGCCTTTTTTGAGCATGCTGTTGTTACACTGGCACTTGGTTCCTGTTGTGGTTGGCTTTTTAATGAGTCCAAAGAAAATCCATTAAAAAAATCAGTCTGGGTTTTTTTCTTGAGGCACAGGCAGTATTGATAACAATGCTTTCCAAACAGCTTTTGTCAGTTTTTGTGGTCTTTGAAGGTGTCCAAGCAGTCACTGAGGGGTTATACTTGGCTGGCTTCAGCTATGCGACGCTCTAACTTGAAATACTGTGAGGTTTGGTAATTTTTACTGCATATGGCCATAAAATAGAGACTTTCCCATGAAGCAGATTAAGGAGGATCTTTGATACTTTCATTCAAAGAACAGCTCTTCCAGAAGGTGAGCATTAACAAGATGGTCGTGTCACATTTTCATGACAAGCTTCTGACTGAGCAGATCATTAGAGAGAAGGGATCAAAGCCACTTCCTCATGTTGTATTTCAGGTGGACATGAGGGTGTCACTGGCAAAAAAACTCAAGTAGCAAACTTCACAGGAGGGGAAGCTCACTCTTCCCAGCTATCTATCCTTTGCAATTTCCTTCCAGTGAGTCACAAACTTTGGGAGTTTCAAAGGAGTTGTGTTTTAATCCAACTACTAGGGCTGATACAGCTCTGATGAGAGACTTGGACATGAGCAGAGATGGTGGCTCTTCTTCATTGCTAGTGAGCAAGACCCAAATACGACAATAATTAAATAATTAAGGGTTTGATTCTTACTGGCTTTCCAGTAATCTGCTTGGTCTGCAATTGATTTTTGTTTTTTCATAATTCACTTTGTGTATTTTACTAAAGTAGATTGGTAATTTATTTAATTCTAATTTATTCACTGAATTAAAAATTCTAAATTTCACCAAATTAGAAAGCTGATTTAACATGTAAACCTCCTCTGCTCTGTGTCTACTGGTAGGACGTTCCCTGCTTTCTTCCCTGGATACAGAATTTGTAACCTGGAGCCCCAGGGCACAGGGAGGTCTTAGATGCTGGTCTCAGGGTGTTCTGCAGGCAAGAAGGGCCCTTGCACTCCTTGATGAAATCTGCTGAACTTGTTGGATTGCCAATCCTCACATTCATCTCCAAGTGGGAGCCAGCTCCTTGTGCAGCTCAAAGAAAGCAAGAGCTGCACCCAAGTTAAATGTTACACAATAGGATCCAAAGTGCTTCTCCAACTTTTTACAGACACTCCAGCACATTTGAAGCGTTTGACAGAAAAGAATAGGCAAGGGCAACAATGATTGATCCATGTTTTTAAGAAAAAAATTGAAGCCATATTTCCACCAGGGGCTTCAGACAGACATTGATGTATTTATCGAGAAGGAGCCCACGAGCGCCAGCCTTTGCATCACTAAAAATGTAGCCTGCTGCAAGAATTTACAGCTGTGATGGAAGATTCATAGCTGCTCTCTTTATTTATTGGAAACATCTCTTGCAGCTGAGTAAAGGCATAAATATGAAATTAAATCACAAAAACTACTCTGAAGTAGTGCTAAGGATACTTTTTAAACCTGCGGGTCCAGGACAACTTAAAACTAATGTTGAAAGACAATTGAGATGAAGAGTATTTACTGATCCATTATTCCATCCCTTTCCAGCAAACGTGTACAACCACAGATTATTGGAGACCATTTGCTGTATTCTCATATGTAATGCTGAACAGGAGGACTCAAGGGCAGCACGTTAGATAAAGGTGCGTCCATGAATTTCTGTCTTGGTGATTTATAGTTTTCATGTCACTGGAAAATCCTTTTTATAGTTTATTTTACCGGCTCTTGAAAAACAGCTTCATAAACAACAACAGGCTGTGCAAGGAGTTGTTTGAGGCATGGATACGGGTGTGAATGCCAGGATTAGGTTAATATTCCTTGTCCTTTTAGGGCACTGCAGATATTGGAAGTGGCCACAGTCCCACGGGCCAGGGAGCGTGGGAGAGCAGAGCAGCCAGGAGAAAGGGGCAGAAACACAACCCAACCCCAGGAGCAATTAGTGTTAATGTGTTATTTTGGATAATGACGATCCACGGTTTCTGCATAGCAAGTTTTCATCTCCACATCTTGTAGCTCCTTATCTCAATTTTGCAGGTCGCAAAACTGATTAATTACACCAGCAGCAGTAGTATAATTAGTGCTGATTATTCTCTGAGCTTTTTCTTCTTTAATCATCTGTTTAATTGGAACTAAATCCCTATTTATCAAATAGTGTAGGTTTTAGCATCTGAAGACTGTGGATTTTGTTTAAGTCTTTCCACCTTGAACTCAGGCATTGTTATAAAAGCTCTGGGAATATTTCTGTGGGATTATCCTGATTATAACTGGATCAGGATTTGGCGTTTTTTAGTATCTGGTCATTTGTCAAATGTTTTGATGTTATGGTGAACGCTTCCTTTAAAAATCCAGGGAAAAGAGATGAGGAATAAACAGACTGAAGACTCTTATAAATGTCCTGCCATATTTACACTGCTACTCCATAGCAGAATTTATGTGAGATGATGAAGGAGAATACTTTGTTGACCAACCTGGACAAGTTTGAATTGTCTTTAATCAGGAGCTGTCAGAATAAAATACATGGAAGCAATATGTGACTGTTTTTCAAAACATAAACGCAACAAAATCCAAAGAAATAAGGTCTGTACCATACTTGTGCACGAGGGGCTCTTTGTGTTACCCCAGTGTGGTTCTGTCGGTGCATGGTGCAGTGACAGAAAACAAGGAACACCTGCAGCAGTGGTGGAATGGTGTAAGAAAGGGCAGCAAGTCACACTTGTTTCACCTCCAATCTTTCAGTAGGTCAGGAGCTGATCATTCTTACCCCTCATTCAGCTTCTGCTGGGGCCTTTTGCTTCCCTCCCCTCTCCTGCCCCCCACAAATTGCTGTAAAAATACCTATTAATGATGATGATGAATAGTTTTTTTCCTATTTTAAACTGTCTCAATATGAAGATCTTTCTCCTTCTATCATTCTCTTAACTACTTCAAAAGTCAGTGTAATTCTCTGTAATTCACAAGCTCTGGGCGTTTTTCCCATTAAGATCTTTTTTCCTTCATCATTTTGGTAGCTGCAGTACATCTTGTCCAAGTGAAAAGGAGCAAAAGGGAGAAAAGTCACCTCTTGATCCCACCCCAACCCACTGCTTGGGTAAGGGACCTGCTGCAGATCTTCATTGGTTTGTCACACTGGTTGGAACAGGAAGCATTTGGGCCGTGCCAGGAACATTTCTGTAGCTGTCAGCCAGTGTCTCCACAGGCTCCTGCAAACAGCGAGGCCGTGCAGCCTCACACCTCTGTGCAGGGGTGACCCAGGCCCTTGGCAGGGCAGCCTCCACCCACTGGCCTTGTCCTCTTCAGTTGTGCATCTCCAGTGTATTGGGGCTGCATTTAGACTTGGTGGTTAAGATATTCTCGTGGTTCTGCCACTAAAGATGCGCTTCATCTTTCCTCTGGGTGGAAAAAAACCTATCATTTTTTACATGGTGACTCATCTTGGTTTAACATGACCATATGCTGTTGATTGCTTCTTTAAGTCACATTAATGTAAAATGTTGAAGTTTGGTTTCAGTGACATTATTGAGTAGGGGTGGTGCATTATCTGTAATAGATGTGGAACTGCACTCCCTGCAGATTTAGCATGGATTAATTTTTACTAGAGGAGAAATACTTGTCTGATGAACAAGTTTATGGTGAGAAAGAAGTGCTTGTGCTCTTTTCCTTTTTATTTTCCGTGGTTGAGATGGGAAAACAAAGAGGAGATGGTTCACATGTAGCCTTTTCTTTCCTCCTGACCTTCCAAATCTATGATGCTGCTGTATTTTAAAGGACAAGCTGCGAGAGGCACCTAAAATGACATCATTATATTCTATTAGCCTTTTATATAATTCTTCTAATATTTCTAACCTTTCCAATTGCAGTAAATTGACCTGGGCTTTGCTGTGTTTTGAGGGATTTTTTATTAGATTTTACGTAAAACCGTATTAACTTCTTTAGTTCTATTTGTTCCTAGGGCATTACCCTAAAACACCTCCATCCCTACCAATGGCTTAAAATGCTGGAGAAAATGGGTATAATTTGTAGTAGAGTCCTTTCATTTTTCCACAGTTGCTGATAGTTTCTAATTTAAGTTTTGAAAGGCCTTGAGGAATGCTTGGCAGGATGTTGGTTACGGATAACCGGGCAGGAATTTGTTCCCATCATGTGTAAAATGAGACCAAACACGGAGAAAATGCAAATGTGAGAGTGTCAAGCTGTCTCCACAGCTCTAGGTGTGCACTGAGTGCAGACTGTGGGGTCCAGGCACGTGTTATCCCTGGATCCATCTCAGCTGTGTGCTGGCACCAACTTCAAAGGGAAGCTGGGTGTTCCTCAGCATCAGCTGGGCAGTGGAAGCACAGGTGGAAAGAAAAAAAAGTGGTATCAATCTACCAGCCTAGGAAAGGCAAAAATAAGAGAACTATTGATTTTTTTAACATCATTAGAATCAGTAATGGATCACTTCCTTGTGAGAAATGACCCGTCCTCCTCCTTTCCAATCCTGTTACTTTTGTAATGGGTTTTTATTAGGTAACCTATTTTCTGTAAATTATAGCCCAGATTTCTCCACAGACATCAAACCATCTTCTCAGGAAGAATACTTGCTTAATTATTTATTTCTACTTGGAAAAAAGGCACTTTGCAGTGAAGTAAGAGTTGTAAGGGAAGTGATGTTTAAAACAGAATTATGGATAGAAAAAACGTGATTTGCAAACCTCGGTTAGGTTTTCTTCCTTGTCGTGCAAACTGTCTGACTTAAACCTATTCTTTAATCTTTCCCATTTAGGACTTGATGTCAAAGTCCATTGGTGAGGTGGTAAAGACACATTACTGGGTTTAATTCTGGCTCTGAGACTGATGGGTTTTAGCTGCCTGTGATGAAGTCTCTGAATTCCTTTGCATCTTCCCATGATTTTACAGTTTTTTTCTAGATCATTGGATCTCTCATTGGGGGTGGTGGTGTTTAATACTTTTGACTATTTTTGTTCTGCCTGGTCAAACAGTTGACTAAACCTCTGTTTTCTACTCCTTTTTAGGTAGCCATCAGAGCACTGTGAAATATTCTGCTCGAAATACCAGCATTAGCAATAACTGAGGGAAGGACAGCTTCCCATAGAGTGACAGCAGATGGGTTTGTTCTCTGCCTAGAGCTTTGAAATAATTTTTACTGCTCTCCAAATAATTCTGTCATGATACATAAAAATGGTCACAAAGCCTGCTGTGTTTTATCAAAGGTGCAGCATCTTTTTATTTTATTAATGCACAGTTTAATGAGAGAACCTTTCCTCAGAATCTTTCACCTGTGCACCAGATCCCTGGTAAAAATGACAAAAGGTCTGGAGCCTTTAGGTATTGTTTTCAATCAACTATTTACTATCCCCTGATTACAAGGAATATTTGGAGTTACATAGGAACCTTCATACACCACCTTCTCTCAGTGTGTCACAGCTTGGTATTTTGTTATTTTAATTGTTCTTATCGTATGCGTAAGGGGAATCATACAAATTATGAGTTCACCTTTGATCCATATTGGCTATGGCATCAAAATCTCCTTCCCTCAATTCCCTATTTCAGTTCATACAACTGAAAAGATGTTTATTCTTTAGCAGAGCAGGGAAACCAAAGCACTCTGAGTATGTGTATGCACAGTTTGCTTTGTACCTCTGCCCTGTGCACAGATATTTTGTGCTGTGTTAATGTTTTATGGTGTTAAAACAATTTCTTTATCTGATGGCATTCCTGTAGGCTGTTTTGCAGGATAATAATTAGGCTGGATAATTCAATCTGATCACTGGAAGGCTAAAGAAGAAGATAAGAGGATGCAATTACCGAGCAAGGGTGTCCATCCTGGGCAATATTTGTGGTTCCAGTAGCATGGTAGGATTCAAGGGCCCATGGTAGAAAAAAATGAAGCATGCCACTTAAACTTTATTCCAGGTTTCTGTAGGATTTTGGCAGAGTTTTAATGTCTTTATTGAAAGGAGACGGTAACTGTGAAACAGGGAATTGCTGCTGCTGTATTTTCATATTATCCGGAGGGTGCCAACAAGGGATATTGAACAGCTACAGTGTTCTCAGAGTAGATGAACTAAGAAAGACTTTATTAAATGAAGGACCTAAAATATTTTGTGTAGCCAAGATAGTTTTGTGCAGTTAGAAAGTTCCAGCCTCTAATCCCCACTGTTAGGAAGCTGAAGAATAATCACCAGTTGACCAGCAAATTCTCAATAGGAGAGAGATTCTTGAGTCTGTGTATTTGCACCCTACTCCTGTGACCTCTCTTATCAGATGTAGAAACCACCATGCAATAAAGGGGTTTGGTCCTGCCCTGTCCTGTCCTTTCCTCTCTCCTGTCCTCTCCTCCTTCGTGGAGCCGCTGGCACTTAAACGATGCCCAAGTGGATTTGATCCTAAGGACCATTCATGCCTGAGAGCCAGGGGGAGGTGAGTTCCAGACTTGAATAAAGTCACGGGTAAGCAGCTGTGCAGGAGGACTCTGTCATGATTCTAGAAGAAAACAGCATTGTTGGATGTGAACTTTACAAAATGGACATGGAAGATCAAATTAAGGGGAAGCTGAAAAGGGCAGTGCAGCTCCAAGGGTGACCCTGGCTCATGGCTGAGGGAGGGGTCAGGCAAGAGCTTTACGAGCAAGTAAAGTGGGGAG